TAACCTGCCTACAACCCACCAAGCAATTCTACATGCCCCAAGGCAAGGCCAGAATCCCACACATAATTAACAACAGATCTGAGAATTTTCTATATTTCGAAATTTGTAACTGTAAACTATTTGGGAAAAGAAGCCGTCACTACTCAATTGCAGGCGTATTCTTCCTGTTTCCACTCCTCAAACTTCAAGAGAGTTTTGAACAGGCTTTGAGAGAAGCCGAAGGCTTGTTAAATCGAAAAGGTCTTGTCAATCACATATACTATTTCACAACTATATTTTTCCTTTTTGATAGCCACGGGTAAAGGCTCCGACACCAGTAAAAATATACCAATGAATGTCTAATCTTTGTTTTGGAATCGAGAGGCTCCTAGAATGTTAACATGTGAACATTAGGGACAAAAGACGTAACATCACTCATAAACAACAAGTAACAAGGGGATTAAAGAAGGTTGAGTAAATTGCTAAGCTTCTGCTGAAACACGGGGATGAGATGTCAATGCTGTGGCCAAGAATGATGCAGTGGAAGGATTGGCATTGATTCTCAAAGTTAGAGACTCCCTTTACATACCCATTGTTTTATTGTACAATTTATGCAGGATACATTTTTTGATTGTAAATACATTCTTTATTAGAGCGGAGAAATTGTAAAGGACTTTGGACACAAAGGTCCTGAGCAAAGACTTAGCCTAGAGTGTCAACATGATGTCTAAAAGAAAGAAAAGTACAGAGAACAATTGGACACTGTATGAGGAGAAAGACTTTATAGAACGCACTTTGCCAATGAGCTGGAATTGTTTGACAAGTCACATTTCCGTTTAAGATGAGGACAGGTCTAGGTCCTCTCACCCATGATTAAGCAATCAAAAGATAGCTGGGGATGGTGTTCAAGTGAAGGTTAATTGTGACTGCTTAAAACTTTTTTAAAATTATATGGGCATTTTTTCAAATTCAACAAAACCATTTTAAAATACATTTTAATGTTGCTTCAAACAGGTTAAAACACCATTAAAGGCAGGTTAAAACACGTTTAAAAGCAGCCTAAAAACCGTATAAAAATATGTTATGTCATCCAGTTGCAAGCTGTGAAATACAATTAAAACAGCACATAAAACATTTGAAAGTGTTTTGAACCTGTAATCAGGGAAAGATCGAATTAACCTTTTTCAAAAAACATCGCAGAGTGTAAAATTCAGTCCAGAAAGATTATAACCAGTTATGTAAGATCAATTGTGACTGCAGACGTTACATAAATATTTCATGCAGTATATACATTAATTAGTAACACCTTCTAAATTAAAAAAAGTATACAGACTAACAAGCAGATGAAATTCAACAATAACAATATTTTAATAAGTTTTAAAATGACAATAAGTAGTACAATATCAAAATACATACATCTTTAAATCTAAATTTTTCAGCAAACAAAATACAAAAAAGCAAATTTCAAATAGCATGAAAGATATCTAGAAAGTAAAATACAAGGCAAAATAAACTATATTGATATGCTAACAATTGACCAAAGAAAAGGAAAACTTTGTCTGGAGTGGTTCCAAAGTAATCACTGTTGTCATATCGCAGAGTGTGATGTAAATAAGGCAAACAAGTCATATATTTAATTACTAACAATTGGCCAACAAACTGAAAAAGAACTTTATCTCCGTGAAGGGATTTTAAAACAATCAGTGTTGTATTTAGCGAATTACTCTAACAATTCTGGGCCTGAACCATGGCACTTTTTTCTTTTTCGGCGTTCCTTCCCCTCTTTGTTTGCTGGTACTTCTCTGAAAAGACAAAATATGAAGAAGCTGTTTCTAAGGAGGTCGTATCAAGAAATATGTTAACTGCACAAGTCGGAGGTTGGACAGAACTCCTCACTATTCGTCAATGAGTTTTCAAGACAAACAAAATTATAACCCCTTAGAGTACATGACATTGTATCTAAAGTACATTGCGTACCGACAGTGAAGCAAGATAAAAAATTTGTATTTGTTAGCACTTTAAAAAAACTTAGTCAGAGGCTTGGTGCTTGCATATTATCTGGTTTCTCAACAAATTTCCAAGACTTTAACATGAAAATGGTAAAAAACGTTTAGGCTGGTACATTGCATAACTGTACTTTTAATAACCATGCAAGCAAGCAACTTTTAGCAAGCAATAGTGGTTTTAACTACTGTCACAATATTTCAGTTACAGCTGCAAAGCATATACCCATAGGATATATAGTAGTGAAAGCTTACCTTGATGATATATTGGGCGCTTGCCCTGAAAAATGAACTGGTTACATTTCTGGCGAAGTGCCTGCAGCACATCTCGTTTGGTTACAGACTTTTTTGGTTTCAGGGGTTTCCCCTCCTTAAGTTATTATTACTAGCATTGTCCTAATAACTATTAGTCAATGGGTGTCTGTATAAAATTGTTTGAATTTAGGGAAAAAAGTGAGGATTCACTCTCATACAGATGTAGGTCTAAGAAAACGTTTTTTTTGGACTTGACAAATTACTGTTGTATAAGGAATATGAACAAGGCAAACAAAATTGATGCTAGATGCAGTGTAGCACAGGCTATACAAAGAAACTGGCGGGGATATCTGCGTAGCTTAAATGAACAACAGTTCTTTGGGATTGTCAGAAAAGGACATTGTCTATTTTCAAAGAGTTAAGTATAAGAATGGTGCAACAAAATGCTTGGGTGGTACTGCTTTTCAATGGAAAAGCTGGAGACTCAAATATATATTCAGTGATTTGGGTTACAAATAGTTATGGTGAGTCCTGGGACTCATCTTGTGAAAAATATTGAGTCCCAGTCCAGAAACATTCAGTCCCAGATAAAAAAAGTATACAAGTCTGTAATTGAAAATGCTTGGGCCTTTGTGTAACCAGACAGTTAATCTGACTTATTAGCTTGACAGACTCAAAAACTCTGTATTACTTCAGTACAAAGAGCAAATCAGAGCAAATCAATGCCTTTCTTTTCTACAATTCATTTCAACACAAGAAGCCTTTCTGCTAACCATGATGGTTTGACAATGCTGCTATGAGATCTACCGCATTAATTTGATGTTATTGGCCTTTCCGAAACAAAGATAAAAAGTAACTGTGATCTAACTAGCAACATTGCTATTGAAGGAAATGATTTTGTCTCCTAGCCAACTCTGACTAATGCTGGTGGGGTTCTTCATCAAAGGGGGATTCATTTTCATATTCGAGATGATCTTTGTGCAAGGACAAAAGGGTTTGAATCTCTTTGGATTGAGATTAATCGGACCTAAATTATGGAATGAACTCGATGAAAGATTCAAGTGTTGTACTTCCAATCAATTTAAAAAAGAACTAACTTCCCATTTCATTAGTCTCTATTAATCTTTACTGATATTCTGATGGTTTATATTTATGTATTTAATTTTTGTTTTGTCCTGTATATTTACTTTTGTGCCAAGTTATCCAATGTATTTGTTGTGCCTCTTTTCTGACTTTCACAGTTTTAATTATCATAATTACAGTCACCCAACTAGTTTGGCTTTTTAGTTATTTGGGGCCTCCCACTACTGTATGTACTGTTTATTTATTTAGTTATAATTATTTTCTTGTAAATTCTTCTAGTTGTCTACATACAGTAGTAGAAAATAAACTGTTGTACCCTGAAATTAAAGTACAGTCCTTCTAAAGGCTAAAGGAAATATGCATCCTTCAACAACAGCCATAATAACTGCCACAGAATACACAAACGGGATATTTCTACAAATAGACATGTTCAGATTTTTTATTTATCTTTGCGTCCATTGGAATGCATGGCATGACTATTATTATTTTGCATCTTTGGGGATTTAAAAAAACAAAAANATTTAGTTATAATTATTTTCTTGTAAATTCTTCTAGTTGTCTACATACAGTAGTAGAAAATAAACTGTTGTACCCTGAAATTAAAGTACAGTCCTTCTAAAGGCTAAAGGAAATATGCATCCTTCAACAACAGCCATAATAACTGCCACAGAATACACAAACGGGATATTTCTACAAATAGACATGTTCAGATTTTTTATTTATCTTTGCGTCCATTGGAATGCATGGCATGACTATTATTATTTTGCATCTTTGGGGATTTAAAAAAACAAAAACAAAAAACGAATGTCGCGAAATATTGGTTGTACCCCTCGACTGAATCGATTTGTATCTGAACGAGATGTATCGCCTGGTCTATCAAAATTACTTTTACATATAAACAAAAGCCAAAGTGGCTCTCGGTAATAAATTAATTGACAGCGCTCTTCGAAAGGCCATATATCCAATTGTTCTTTTCATGACGTTTATGCCTAGACGTTCCAATAACAGATTATTCTAAAATAAGGAACAAACGTACTCACATTTATTCGCATCGCGAAGACGCGTGTTCATCAGTTGAACTTAGATCCGTTCCTTTAAAAGTACAAGCTAGTCGCTGACAATTCGGGGACATTTTGATTCATGATTACAACTTCCAAGCCGTAGGTCAACTTAGGGGGGGTGCACCGTTCCCCTAGTTCCGCCCTGAACCAGCCCATTATCTCTTCATTTATGAGCTGTTTGAATCGTTTCCTTATAGGTTCAGGCTCCATCCATATTTTATGTTTTGCTGCATTCATTCATGAAAGTTAAAACTGAACAATTAATTTTCCGACTGTCAACCACGCCACTTTCTACCGTGCTTTGATCACGTGCAGTAATTCATCCCGAGCGGGGTACAATTGCTCAAATGTATCACGGTCAAGTTACATTTGCTTTTAGACAAGGCCATGTGACCATGAATCAACCAATGTCAGTCCTTGTTTAGTCGAGTGAAAGTCTAGGAATAAAACAATTTGTATTATACATAAAGTTCTGAGGGAAAGGGGCATTTATCATTATCAACTAATCTTTTGTTCCTCTAGATTTTCTTCTGCAACCTTTGTGCTTGTCGGTGTGGTCTCTTCCCCGTTGTCCTCCATCTGGCCAAAATGTCCCTTATTTGACCAGATCCTCAGCTTTCTGAGGGATCAACACCCTCAGGAAGCTGAAGGATGAGGCTGAAATATATTTCTGTTTTTGTTGGCTTGAATGAATGGGCGGTGGGATTTCACCATTATCATAGGCATGGCTAGCCTCCCCAGCAGCCATTCTTAGGCATGCGTCACACGTTCCTTCCCCATGAAGGTCTGCTGATCTGAGCAGGAAAAAACATAGACCAATCACAGCAGACTCACAGATCTGGAAAGTGCACTTTGGATCTGGAGTGATTGTAGCGCAAGATATCGGAGAAAAACATGGTGAATGCTGGCGTGGCCTTTAACATGAAAAAGTTTTTTTTCATCATTTTTAAAGAAAGGGAAATTACACTCAAATCATTTAATAAAATCATTTCATTTCACTTTTTGTGTATGTGTAAGGAACAGTCTGTATTTGCCCTGTTGTAAGGAAATTGAGGGTCATTAAAAGAAATGACTAGCTGTAAGNGGCCATGTGACCATGAATCAACCAATGTCAGTCCTTGTTTAGTCGAGTGAAAGTCTAGGAATAAAACAATTTGTATTATACATAAAGTTCTGAGGGAAAGGGGCATTTATCATTATCAACTAATCTTTTGTTCCTCTAGATTTTCTTCTGCAACCTTTGTGCTTGTCGGTGTGGTCTCTTCCCCGTTGTCCTCCATCTGGCCAAAATGTCCCTTATTTGACCAGATCCTCAGCTTTCTGAGGGATCAACACCCTCAGGAAGCTGAAGGATGAGGCTGAAATATATTTCTGTTTTTGTTGGCTTGAATGAATGGGCGGTGGGATTTCACCATTATCATAGGCATGGCTAGCCTCCCCAGCAGCCATTCTTAGGCATGCGTCACGCGTTCCTTCCCCATGAAGGTCTGCTGATCTGAGCAGGAAAAAACATAGACCAATCACAGCAGACTCACAGATCTGGAAAGTGCACTTTGGATCTGGAGTGATTGTAGCGCAAGATATCGGAGAAAAACATGGTGAATGCTGGCGTGGCCTTTAACATGAAAAAGTTTTTTTTCATCATTTTTAAAGAAAGGGAAATTACACTCAAATCATTTAATAAAATCATTTCATTTCACTTTTTGTGTATGTGTAAGGAACAGTCTGTATTTGCCCTGTTGTAAGGAAATTGAGGGTCATTAAAAGAAATGACTAGCTGTAAGTATTCCAAAGCATCTCAACATAACCTTTGTCACTGTTGTTGGTCCCAAAATAAGCACCTAGTCAATATTGTTTTAGAGGTACAGTAAAAACCCGCGTAAAAGAACAAGTGAATTAGGAACACTCAGGCTGACATTTGGTCAAAAAAGCACCATAGGCTGAGATGGATAAAGGGCTGTTATATTTGCAGAGCTACGCGTATCTGTAAGTATGACCGTCATGAATAACATGGGAGTTTCTCAAGAGCTTTGGAATAACTTTCATGTCCTTACGACAGAGCAAATTCAGGGGCATCATCTGGTGCCTCTCTCTCTGAGGGGGAGCCATCCCTCCTATCTATGGTCATCGAGGAACTTCTTTGAGACCGTTTCCGGTTTGCTTTCTGGTCCAGCTTTAGAAATAAGTTGTTAAGTTCTTGGCTTCTCCAAGGTAGAGGCCTCCTACATAGCACCTTTTTCCTGGGGACATTCTCATCGTCAGAACTGTTTTCTTGATCTAAATTGTCTTCAGAGACAGAATGTTCTGAAGACATACTCTACACTTAAACAATCTTTAAACCTACTCTTCTCCTCGTTTGGAATGGATATAGATTGTAGAAGTGCCTTTTGTCTCTTTAGTCGTTTCTGTAACAAACAAAAATTATTTATGAGTGAGACCATCAAAACGCATTTACAACAATTTCAACGAAAACTGAGCTGGCAGAAATTTAAAAAAACTACCTAGACAGTAAATTTCACTGCTCACTACATATGGGAATGTGCATTTTAAACTAAAATCTAAAACTAGCAACTGATTCAACTTTCCAACAGTAAATTCATTTAATGCAATCTTGGGGCTACACTTGACCTGGCTTCACTGTAATGACTTGAGAGTAACAAGGAACTTTTTTGCACTGTATACTTACTGTATTCTTTCTGCTCCTGATTCGCTCCTTCAGCACTTGTTTGTCCTTGTTGCCTTGTTTGATTTTACGTTCAAAAGTAGGTAATTTTACATTCAATCAGAAAACGTGTGTATTTTTTAATAAAGCCGTCGCTGATGACTAGCAAAGGTGTGAAATGTTTCATGAGGCGTGAGAAGATTTTCAGGTCAAAAGAAGCTTAAACCAGAGCTTAAGCTTAATTATCTCATACCGGTAAGCTGTCTGTAAAACTCCATACATTTATTCTGCAAACTTGTTTTTACTCTATTCAAATTAAACTGTCTGGGGGAAAAAAGTATGAAATTGCTGCATGCATAATAAGCTACTTTTAAACTTTTTCACACCTAGCGTTGCACCAGAATTTTGCAGCTTCGCCTTTTCCTTTACGTAAATCCAGTCAAACCTTGCATGTTTGCGACCATCTTTACGTATGCAGCTTTGTCATCAGCTACAATCCTCATCAAAAATCGTTGAAACAGACGCCGCTTCTCTTGAATTTTCTAGAAAATTCTTGAGATTTACTGCTCACACTTTTGTTCTCACTGTACGTGTATTTTGAAGCACTGAAACTGCTGTAATGCCCAAATCAACATTGGGGAAGGGAAAATGCACACAAGTGTTTCAAGATTTTTGACGAGGATTGTATTTGGTCTGAAGAGAGGAAAGAGTAACTGTTTTACTTCAACTCCAAATTTTGGACCATTGATGGAATATACCTGCTTTGTTCGCGTACAGATGAGAAAAAAAATTAGCATGGAAAATGTTTTACTCCACTAGTTTTCCTGCAAGACGACTAATTCAGTTAGTATGACTGATCTTATGTAAATATCGCTGAGTTTGTTGACATTATTTGCTCTCACTTGAGTGTTACACGATTCACCATGGTTCTGGGAAAATTCTTTGCCTTTTTTAGGAACGAAAAACAAAAACTACTGCATCTGCAAGCGTTTTAAGTTATAGAACAGATCACGGAACTTACAGTTTAGGGATAATCTTCTTCATTAACCTATTCAATAAGGCTATTTTAAGGGCTTCACCATGGTGAACCGATAGTTCTTATAGTCTATGGTACTATAATGACTTTACTTTAGAACACAGTGGTGAATCGTTGAGTTTCAGTGCTAAGAAGGTCGACAGGTCATTACAACAAATGATCTCATTTAATAATGCAATTTTCTACAAAGGAAGCTTCTTTTTGTACATAGAACTGGTAAGATCAAAGCAAAAAAAGGAAAAGAGTCCGTCTTTATTTGACACCTTTGTGTAGTTATTTGAGATAATGACTAAGTGGCAATGTACTTCATTCTCTCTCAGAAGCTCAAACAGAAATCATGTCACAATGGATAGCGAATCAATCTCATAAAACAGCCGCAAACAATCATTCTGCTATGTAACGATCGCTAAACATCGTGCTCATGGCCATCTGAGCAATTTTCACCTGCTTCTGTTTTGAAATATGCAACACCCCCCTTCCCCTTATTTTTGGCGAATAGTGCGATAGTTATTTCTCTCTGAAAGCTGACATTTTGCGCGTAGAAATCTCACTCAATTATCCACAGAATGCATGTAGTAGTATTTCTTTACTATTTTATACACTTCCCCTTATTTCTTATAACCATACCGATTCGTTTCGGCATAGAGCGTATTAAATTGTTCACAGTTTCAACAGGTATGAAGTGAAATGTACTGATAACACGATTCTTAAACTGTTCAAATGTTTGTCGGCGCACTTGTTGCTGCAATGCTCGTCTTTTTAACATCCTACTCACCATGGGAAACACATTTTCAATGACTGCAAGATCCGGAGATCTTCGGCACAGTTTGATTAATGTACTGTTCATTCGTTGCATTGCTGCCCATGCTGAAGCTGAATTTTGAAAGGGATCTCCATCTTCTAAGAACATTTGGGTACATCCTTTGTCAGAACTGCGAACAGGCAATGAAAATGGTTATCTATAAATGCAGCGAAATAACGTCCATTGATCTTCTCGTATGGTTCACAGCAGATAACTCCTTTATTGTAAGAAATTGCCGCCATCAGTCATAATACTTTGCCCCCAGTCCCCTCTTTGTTGGCCCTTTGCTATGCATCCCGGACCCATAAACCCTCCGATTTCTTTCTCCAGACACGAGCTTTTGGTGCACGAGCCTGATCTAGTGGATTTCTCTTGTGCGTAAATCCTGTTCCATTTAGATAAAAGGCAATTCCCTCTCCAAATTTCCTGGCTGTAGTTTGCTTTCATGTACTTTGCAAACTTCACCCTTTTGATGTGGTCTTCCGCTGTCATGAGCCCCTTTTTGCGAGTCTGCAAGTAGTAGTAATTTTGTGAATTGAGAAAACAAGAAACTGTTCTAACAGATACGTCCTTTTGTTGAATTCCGTCTTTGTCCATAATTGCTTTACAGGTAAAGTTCCCTCTCTTTTCCTCAAAACTGTAATGCATCGTATCAGTTGTCTTTTGTTGCGGTCACTTAGCTTGTTATGGCGACCTCTTTCTGGTATCTTCTGGGAAGTACACCTCTTATAAGTTGTCTCATGTGCAATTATATAAACACTCGCAGCAGAAATCTTGCACATGCTGGCAACTGTTCGCACAGGTAGGCCTTTAACCCGACATAAATAATACGCATGTGCACGAGTAACACTATCGATTATACCTTTAAACACCATCGCAATTTGCTAATAGGCAGACCAGTACCACTTAAGTGTTTTAGCACTAAAGTACCTTAAAATCGCCTATACTCAAAAGTATGCATAGCTTCTTTATATAGCCGCTACTTCATGTCTAGAACAGTTAAAACAAGAACATTCATTACGTAAACACGGCAAGCGAGAATAGTTACTTTTCATAGTACGTTGACATTACCCGTCCACGCCCTTCAGATGCAAAGACAATCCTCATCAAAAATCGTTGAAACAGACACCGCTTCTCTTGAATTTCCTAGAAAATTCAAGAGATTTACTCCTCACACTTTTGTTCTCACTGTAATGTGCCCTCTCCCTCCCCAATGTTGAGCCCCGTGTATTTTGAAGCACTGAGACCGCTGTAATGCCCAAATCAACATTGGGGAAGGGAAAACGCCGACAAGTGTTTCAACATTTTTGACGAGGATTGTAGCTGTTTGACGTAAACACAAGATCTACACAGCTACCTTTCGGAGAGTGCCGCTCTTGCCAATCATTTTCCATACGAACAATAAATTCCATCAAGACACAAATCACATTAATTGTAGTCCGCAGTTTTTTGGCAACCAGTCAATTTGTCCCCCTCGCAGCAGTTTTCTGGATGTCCAGAAAAACGACTGCGAGGGAGACTACTAGTCAATTAAAATCATAATTAATTAATTAGTTTTTTTGTTTTATTTCTTTCGAGTGTATTTGAGGGACAATGAGGCGGACGCAGTGCAAACATGTTTATTTATTTTGCAAATATTTGCCCCAAAACTGTTTTACTTTGTTTGTCTCACTAGACTGAAGTGACTGGCTGTCCTTTCGCTGTTTACACTTGCTGACGTGTGGTCTCTGGATATCATTTATAGCGTTCAGCACGTTAACGGAAAATATTTTCCCGCAAGAACACTGAATACTTCTTTCATTTATTGCCCGGCAGCCTTGGTAGGTCTTCGCTACAGTTTCTTTCCACTGTTGTAGCCTTTGCTGTTGTCTCTTACTCCTGTTTACTCCTTCCCCTCCTTTAAGTTTCTCCCAGAGCAACTCTTCGTCCTCCATTTCCTCTCTTTTTCTTTTTCTTTTTCTTTTTCCCTTGTTTTGCTTTCTTTATCTGCCACAGTTGTTGTTTGCTCTTGACTCATCTCTTTGAAGTCTGTGTTTTTTGCAATATTAGAACGTTATAGCGGATGGGTACTGTCCGTTTCGATCTTTTTTTATGGTTAAATACAACCTAGGAGAGCGCTCTATCTCAAGAACTTTTTGAAGAGCAATCTCTCATTAATTGGTCGTGATTGACTTGACAAAGTTTACCAGGTTTCCAATGGGCGATCTTTGGCTGTAACCAATAATAACATTAACTGACCCAAGTCCCTATTCCCTCGACTTTTCATTTAACCCCTCTTGAGTCAGCAAGCGTATTACGAAGCGTTGATTCTCGATGTCGTCTTTACCGAAACGAAGGTCCATGGCAAAAGTCTGAACAGGCCTTACGCAATTGTTGGTTCTGAACACTAGAACATGTGCCTGAGTTACAAGCTTTTTGGAGAGAAGCAGCAGAAGTTCTCCCTTTCCATCAAAATCCATTGCAATAATCGTATACCAGGATGCCTAAAATTGTAGAAAGTGGTTCTTGCTGTCAGATGCCTTTTCAAGAGGTTTTTACGGTTGTTAGGAAAAGTCAAGTTTTAGCGCAGTTAGCTCTTTAGGCTTATTATTTTTCTTGGGCTTTTGAGAGTCTTTTGAAACAAAGAAATTATGTAGAAATTTCGGAAGGTTTTACATGCGGAATAGACCAATTTAACCATCATTCGAGATTATATATGAATTCAATTATCTTAAGCTTTGTAGTGCTGCTATTCAGCCCGGCACCACTTCTAAATGTACGAGATATAAAAGGTTTAATTACTTATGTACCTTGTTTTAAAACTCGTGTCAACGT